TTTTTTTTTTTTATCATTCTTTATTTATTGGTTTTGTGTTGGTATCAGTAATCAAGGGAAGGGGTACAGAAAATAAAAAGGGGGGGGGGGGGTACAACAGTTCCATTCAGACAGGTTTGTACCAACGCAGGGTACGTTTAAAAACATGGTAGTACAATGGTGAACAGTGTGCGTTAGACTATAATGGCTACCAGTTATCGAACTTGTGTTGATGTGTAATCTAGTACCCTCTCGAAGCGGTGGGGTCACCGAGGAAGGGGTAGAGAGTCCGTGCGGGTCGAGAGTGCGGCTGGCGTTGGGGTGTGTTTTCTTATCTGCTTAGCCGGTAAGTCCCGGTCTATTTTGTCAGTCCGAGTCGGCCGTTGTATTTTTGCTTACAGGTCGATCATTCTCCTGTCAAGTTTTGAGGGGCCCTAGTTGGTGTTTGTTGTGTTCCAGCTTTTTAACTGCCTCTTCGGGTTCCGCCTGTCAGGTTCGTCTCTGCGCCCGTTAGTAGGGTGGTTGTCTTAATGTTTCCCCTGTTCCCAGGTGAATGGTACTTCTGGTTGTGTCTTGAGTGGTTGGGTTGGTGGGGTGAGGCCTTGAGGTTGGTGGTGTCATGGGTGGCCTGGTTATAGTGGGTCGGGTTGGAGATAGGAGTCGCGGCCCGCGGGCCGCCCGGAGCGCGGCGTCCCCAAGAGTGGGGCCGGGGGGGGGGCTGGGGCTCAGTGATGGCAGGCATAAGGGCCATGGTATCATGTGTTCAGTGAGGGGTAGCGTGTTAGCTACCTTGTCTTTTGTTGTATTGTTGGCAGGTGCTCAGTTTGTGCATACGGCTACCAGGGGATGGATGTGTCTCCCTCTAGCCACGGGTCCCAAACTTTGTGAAAATGTTTGGGGGTGTCTCGGAGTTGTGCTGTCAGTTTATCCATTTGTGAACTCTCTGTTATTTTTCTTGTTATCATTTCTTGTGTTGGGATGCGGGTCGTAGACCAGAGTTCGGCTATGGCTCTGCGGATGGCAAGCGCAATCCGGGCTATCAGTTTGTTTTCTGGTCTCGTGAAAGGATCTATGGGCTTGGATAGCAACAGGGCCCAAGGGTCTGCCGGGCATGGTTTGTGTAGTATTTTGGCGATTAAGTGGGTGGCGCTTTGCCATAGAGGTCGGAGTTTTGGGCACGTCCACCAGCAGTGGAGGAACGTTCCCGTCTCTCCACATAGCTTCCAGCATGCGTTGGATGGTGTCTGGTGCATGGAAGCCAAGCGTTGTGGTGTGAGGTACCACCGAAATAGCATTTTATATGCCTGCTCGGTGTGTGTAACGCATATGGAGACGGAGGCTGTTGCCTCCCAGATGTCCGCCCAGTCTGTCGTGTCGGTCGGTGGACCCAGGTCTGTCTCCCACGCTGATATGTATGGGAGGGAGCGTTGTGTGGGGTGATTAGCTATGGTTGTGTACAGGTCTGAGATTTGGCCTTTTCTGCTGGGGTGGGTCACGCATCCGCGTTCAAATTTGGTGAGTGGTGCTGTCCCCGCTTGTTTAATGCTTGGAATCGCTGCAAAGCTACGTAGTTGTATATACCGAAAGTGGTCAAATGTTGTGAGGGACGCGGAGTCTGGGATGTCTGAGAACTGGATAATGTCGTTGTCCCGATAGAGGTGTCCTATTCTAGCAATGTCTCTTTGTTCGAACTTGGCGAAGTGTTTGGGTGTGAGGCCCGGGGGGAACAGTTTGTTCCGCCAGATCGGGGTCATCGGGGAAAGGAAAGATGAGAGGTCATACTTATCTTTCGCTTTGTCCCACTGGTCAAGTGCGTGCGTGATCGCGGGTGCTGTCGGCGGTGGTAGGGGTCTGTGTGGCCTGGGTGTCCACATGTATAGGGACGGGTGGTCCCAGCCAAAGATCAGGTGTTCCAAATCCACCCATCTCTTCTCGCCCGGCTGTACGTGCCAGTGCTGTATCTGTGCTAAGTGTGCTGCTGTGTGGTAGTGTAAGAAGTTCGGTAGGCCTAGGCCTCCGGATTTCTTGGGGACATATAGCGTGCTCCTGCGTACCCTTGGTTTGCGTCCGTTCCATACGAACCTATCTATAGCCGTTTGAAGGGCCTTGAAATCTGGTTTGTGTAGAGGGATTGGGAGGGTTTGGAAAAGGTAGAGGAACCTAGGTAGAAGGTTCATCTTGATGGAGGTCACGCGTCCCATCCATGATATGCCCAGGGGTTTCCATGTGACCAAGTCCTCGTATGCTTTGAGTATTATGGGGGTGTAGTTCTTGGAGTATAGGGACGCGACGTTAGCTGTTAGTTGGATCCCGAGATAGGAAATAGCCGAGTGGCAGACCCGGAGAGGGAAGGTGAGGCGGATCCTATCTAGCGTTGTGGTGTCCATTTGGACAGGAAGCAGTTCCGATTTATTCAAGTTGAGCTTATATCCCGAAATTTCCGAGTATTCCTCCACAATGGCGAGGAAGGGCCCTAGGGAGCGTTCAGGGTTGGTCAGGGTCAGGAGGATGTCATCGGCGTATGCCGAAATTTTGAATATTTCCCCCCTGACCGTGATCCCCTCCACCCCCGCATTGGCGCGTACCGTCTGGAGAAGGGGCTCCAGGGAGAGGGCAAACAGCAGGGGGGACAGAGGGCACCCCTGTCGCGTGCCGTTAGTGATAGGGAAGCATGGGGGTGGGATATTAGGCAACAGGAGTGCCCCCTGGGGGTCGTGGTATACCGCTGTCAGGAACGAGGTGAATTCTGGTGGTAGTCCTATGTGTGTCAGAGTTTGGTGTAAGAACTGCCATGTAAGGCGATCGAAGGCCTTTTCGGCATCGAGCGATATGACTGCTGTTGGGATACGTCTATGGTTGGCGAGCCAAATGAGGTCAATGGCCCTCCGGGTGTTGTCCGCTGCCTGTCTCTGGGGTATAAAGCCCACCTGATCGGGGTGTATGAGTGATCCCAGGTGTGGATTTAGTCTGTTTGCCATGACCTTGGTCATGAGTTTGAGATCAACATTAAGCAGTGAGATCGGCCTATAGTGGGCAGGTTCAAGCTGGTCCTTTCCGGGTTTGGGGAGGAGGCAAATGTGAGCCCTTGTCATGTCTGGCGGGAGGGTTTCCCCCCTCAATGTGGCGTTGAATACTCTGCATAAGTGGGGTAGTAGGATAGGGCTAAATTCTTTGTAGTATATGGCCGAGTAGCCATCAGGGCCCGGGCTCTTGTTTGGCTTGAGAGGTCCGAGTGCCTGTGCCATCTCCTCCACCGTGACCTCCTGCCCTATCGCGGCCCTGGCCTCCTGGGTCATGGAGGGCAGGGTCGCTTTCTGCAGGAATGTGTCTATGCGAGTGCGTAGGGGCTCTGAATCGGTTTGGGAGTGTCGGGTATGGTTATATAGGTTGGTGTAGTAGTCCTGGAAAATGCTACCTATGTGAGTTGGGTCATTGCTAACGTCGCCTCCTGTGGTGCGTATGGCCGAGATCCGTTTGGACTCTATTCGGTGTTTGAGTCGGCGGGCCAGCATAGTGTCCGCCTTGTGTACGTCCGTTTTAGCCACATCAGGGCCTTGGAGGTGTCTTGTTGTGTGAGGGTTTTGAGGAGGTCCCGGGTCGCTGTCAGTTTAGTTAGCGTGGTGGGGTTAGGGTTCTTTTTGTGTAGGGTTTCTAGGCGGCGGAGTTCCGTCATGGCGTCAGTGATTTGCTGTTGTGTGTGTCTTTTTTTATGGGTGGCCAGGCTAATGAGAGTGCCCCTGATGACCGCTTTATGGGCGGCCCATATCGTGGCGGGCGCAGTGTCCGCCTGTGTGTTTAGGTCAAAGTACTCTTTCAGCTCGTTAGCTATTTTGTCGGTGATTGATTTGTCATGCAGGAGAAGAGGGTTCAGTCTCCATGACCATTGTCGATAAATCGACGGTAGAGCGAGGGTGATAGCTATTTCCGCATGATCGGACCATGATATAGAGCCGATTTCGGATTTAGTGATTTGTGGTACTAAGTTAGGGGTCACCAGGAAGTGGTCTATGCGTGAATACGTGCCATGCGGGTGGGAGTAGAACGTGTAATCTCTGGTTGACGGGTGTTGTGCCCTCCATATGTCTATCAGTTTTTGTGAGGCGAGAAATTGGTGGAATAGGGAATCATTCTGCGACGGGCGAGAACGTGCCGTGGCAGTAGAGGTCCTGTCGGCGGCTGGGGTGTGGACTGCGTTGCAATCCCCCCCGACCACGAGTCGCGCAGTCGAGTAAGTGTTGAGGTGTGTAGTCAGTTGTTGCCAGAATGAGGCGTCTGGTGTCGTAGGTGCGTAGATCGAGGAGAAGGCGTAGGTTGTAGTGCCCACTTTCCCCTGTATGGTTACGTAGCGTCCCTGCGGGTCCCTGTTGCATACCACGTCTGAGAGGGGGCAGTTGGCTCTCAGAATAATGGCTACTCCCTTCGTTTTGGAGTCTGGGGAAGGGGCCATATAGCTCTTCGGGTAATGTCTGTTGGTGAGGGGGAAAGCGCGTTGGGCCGTGAAGTGGGTTTCTTGTATAAGTAGGATGTCTATGTTTTGTTTGTGAGCCCATCTTAGTATGCCATGTCTCTTGGCGGGGGAGTTCAGCCCTTTTGCGTTAATGGATACGCACCGTAGGTTTACAGGCATGGTGTTTTTGGTCTATCGCTAGGGCTCTGGGGTGGGGAGTGTGAAGAGGTTGGGGGCCGCGCTCCCGGGCGGTCCGAGGCCTCGGGGATGGGGAGAGAGTGAGTGGGTGTTGGGGTTCTTATCTATGTGAAGGGCGGGGTTCGTGGGGGTTTTGGGGGTGAGGGTTGAATGTTAGTAGGGGTGATCCGCTGGGCTTATATTGTCGCCAGCGGTATGCGGGGTGAGCGTCTGTCCGCTCGGTGGGTGTTCGTACCCTAGTGGTGTCGTGTCGTCAGGGGTTGGCAATCTCTCTAGCAGAGTTGCCGGCAGGCAATGTGAGTATTGAATCGTATACGTTGGTAGGTGGTGGTCGGTCCGAGTAGTGATTGTGACAGTCATGTCTATCGTTCCTCACCTCGTATGAAGGTGTGGACGTGTATGGTCAGTGCGTCCGTGCCGCCAGGGTCTGGTGATGTGTTTCTAGCGTCTGCTTAGCGTTCGCTAGCTCCCTTGTCTGTGTCGCGTCCGGTGCGTCAGTGGGTGCCTTTCGTAGTGTGGTCGTGATCGGGTCCAGAGGAGAGATGATGTTACCACAAGAGAAAATGAGACATTTAGAAAAAATATACATAACATGCAGAACAGTGACAAACATTGCTGCGACAGTATGAGTGTACCATAATATGAATTGTCTTTGTGCTCTGGAAGATAGAGTGCCTCCAGTGATCTGTTGGGGCAGGGGGAAAGGTGCTCGGGGGCGTCCAGTACAGGGTGCCCCGTGTTCGTGCGGGGAGTGGCTTAGTTACGTGGACCCCCCCCAGGGGTCAATCCCCCTACATTATTTTGGCTCGATGCTTGTCTGGAGATAGGCTTGCCGGCAGTCCAGAATCAGTGGTCTGCGTTAAATGAGGCTATTGTTTTTTAATAAGTGTATATACCTTTAAGATTTTTGAATCTGCTTGCCTGGTAAAGTATAAAACCGCCAAGCAACGGCCACAGTACCTATCTTGAGAAAGCCCTTAGAAGAAGGCGAAACATGTTGAAAGGTGCTAGTGATTGAGCTCTGCTGCATATACTTTTCGACCAGGTTCCAGGACCAAGCCAGATTTATCCTTAGTGTTTCTCCACTTGAAAATCTTTTGACAGCCTGCCTTTGTGCACGAGGCAGATGCTGTCTCCCCTGGAGAACCGGGCATTCCCTCGGGGACTTCAAGAGAACGAGCGGCTATAAGAGCCATTTTCGTGGTCCTTAATTTTGTAAGAGTTCCTATTTGGGGGATATTTTTTGTACTACGGCAATAAATGTTATAGAGTTACACTATATTTTGTCTCTCTTTGCCTTAAGGAGTTTCCAGTACATTATTGGGTCCTCAATTGTTACAGTAGTTATTTGGACTTTCCCCCAAAGGAACCTATATGTGAATTGAACAGACTTTGGACATTTTAGGGACATTTATACTGTTTTTATTGATACAGTTTTTTAGATACAGTATCAGGATGTGTTTGTGTGTGTCTGTCAGTATGTGTGTCTGTAAGTGTACATGTCCCTGGCGTAGCATGGGAAAAAAAACGTGAATAAAAAACACCTTTCCCATGTGTAAGGCCTCCCTCTGATTACATGGGTGTTTTTACTCAACTTTTTTTCACATGCCACGCCGGTCTTATCGTGGCTGGCCCTGCCTCATTGGCCGAGATAATCAATCTTTATGATTTAAGCCAATTCAGTGCTTCTCAAAGAAAGCATTGGGAGGCTATTGTTAATTCAGGGCACCAATCAGCATCTCCTCATAGCGAAGCATTGAATCAGTGCATCTCTATGGGGAACATTATGTGCTTCCATGCAGAGCGTGGAGACGCTGAACATAGACTTGGCTGTCTGACTGACTGTGACTAGAGGTGATACTAGGCAACAATGTGTTTACGTTGAAAATCCTGCAGGGACAGCTATAGACACCAGAACCACTACCTTAAGCTGTAGTTGTTCTGGTGACTATAGTCTCCCTTTAAAGCTTTGTTAGTTTAAAAAACAAACTTTTTTTAGTTGGCTCCTAGACTCCAAGCAAATTTGTCAAACCCTGGGGTATGGTATGTATTTTGTGACTGGACAGCTAAGAGTGGAGTATCTCCACCTGAATTTTCAACATCTGACTTGCTGAGTTTTCTACAAGATGGTTTGGAAAACAGCCTTAACCTTAGTACCCTGAAAATGCAAGTCTCTGTTTTGTCTGCACTTTCAGGTACCAGGTGGACTTTTAATTATGCCGTCATAAGATTTATAAGGGCAGTTATGCACATTTGTCCGTCCATTAAATCTCCTTCTCCGCCGTGGGATCTTAAAAATGGTCCATTCAGCCTTACAGTTGCCTCCCTTTAAGCCTTTTTGATCAAGTCCCTCTTATATTCATGACTTTGGAGGTGGTTTTGTTGGTTACCTTAACATCTGGAAGAAGTTTCAGAGCTCAGTGTTTCTGTCCTCTGATGAATTTATTACCAGGTTCTATGAAGACAAAGTCGTCCTGAATACAGTAACAGAACTTCGTCCAAAGGTGGTGTCTAAATTCCACATGTCTCAGGACATTATCCTTCTTTTGTTCTTCTCAAATCCTTTATCGAAGAAAAAATTGTTATAACACATCCTTGATGTGGTCATGGGTCTCAAGACTTTTCTTCAAAGAACATCAGATTGGAGGAAATCCTCTAGGTTATTTCTAGTCCCACTCAGAAATAGGAAGAGTGACACATCATCTGTTCCTTCCATTGCAAGGTGGATTGTGTTTTGCATTTCTAAAGGTTACAAATGTAAAGGTGTTCCATTACCTAAAGCAGGCTTCCCCAAACTCCGGCCCTCCAGATGTTGCTGAACTACATCTCCCATGATTCTCAGCCTATTTCATTCATAGAATCATGGGAGTTGTAGTTCAGCAACATCTGGAGGGCCGGAGTTTGGGGAAGCCTGACCCAAAGGTTTGAAGGCTCATTCCACTTGACATTTGGCAGCTGCCGCTGCACCTGTTTCCTCAACAAATATATAGAGCATTGGATATGAAATCTTCTAAAGATCTGGAGTTTATAGAGGCAGTTCTGAGGGCCTATTAAGATTTTCTTAGTTGATATATTTTCATTACATTTTTGAAGCATTTAGGCGTATACTTTGTTTTCCATTCCTGGTGTTGGGCCATGGCAGCACTGCATCCCCCCCAATCCCCCCTGGGGGTGGTTTGTCATGAACTGGGGAGATTCAGCCATGGGGGAGTTATTTATATATAATTAACTTTTATTCCTGATATATGGAAGTGATGGGAGGAGCTAATCCAAGTGTAGTCTTGCAATACCCAAGAAAGGAAAATATTGTTAAGTATGAATAAGTTTTCTTCTATCAGAAGAGATAATGGGAAAATGCCAATTTTCTAACCTGCCTTTCCTGCGTCGGTATACATTTAAATATTGTGAAAATATGTTCATTATTGTATTTGTTTTCAATATTGTAAACTAGGTTAATTTCTCATGTTAAATAATACTCTTTGTATATTTTCACCTTGTTCTCTGATATTCCTAATAAATATGTATTTATAAAAAAACAAAAGATATACATTGAAAAGGAGTATCCATTCAGCAAAAAAAAAAATCCATCAATTTAACTTTCAAGTTCTATACAATTTGACTAATTAAAAAAGACAAAAAACTATTTGACATACAATTCTAAATCTTTATTGGGAAATCACAGTAATGAAACGTAGACTTGAAAGGTTTAGGGTCCTATAAAAACAAACTCCTTAGGCCAAAAGTGAGGCAATCACTACAATTGCAACAAACCATCATCTTGCTCAACCTCACCTAATAACTGTGAGCGCAAATAGTAACAGCAGTATTTATACCCTGCTCCCAGCAATACACGAAAGCTCCACCTCCAGATCCCCTCTATTGGTCGAGAAACACAAGACTCCACCCACTACTGTTTCTTTCACGGCGAGGACTAAATAAAGTGAAAAGGTGGGGGGTTACATTCATCATGCCTCGTTATAAAACTTGTCAACGAGGTTTGCCCAGTCTCCTCAATCACTCCCTAAACTACTCAAATAAATTGGTATATTCCATATCTGCTCGTGACTAAGGGCGGTTTAGCGCCAACACGCCGTTACTCCGCCTCCAAGCACTGTAACAGCTGAGGGCGCGCGCGCACCGCCCGTTAGGTTTTGCGCGTGCACTTACGCCAACACGCGCCGGCTACTGAGCAACACAACTCGCCGAGCTCTGAACACTAGAGACAAAAGCCGCCTCGCGGTTGAGAATTTTGAGTTCCCCAAAGGGAAAACAACCGATTATAATAGAACGGTTTATTAAAGGCTTATTATACGTATATATAATTATGCGTTTGCATCCACGGTGAAACAAATAAATAATAAAAAAATAAAAATAAAAAAAATGGGTAATACTCTAGTGAGTAGACCTCGTTGCCGTGCAGTTGGCCGTTGAGGGTGCAACGCGGGGTCGCGCACGCATAGTACGTCTGCCGTGCCCGAGTGTTAGCCGGGCGGGTTCTTCTGCTACAAGCAGCCGAAGTGTGTGAGGTAATAACGGCCGCCGCCCGTGGGAGGGACGGGAGTTGAGTGCAGCACCCCGGATATAAACCAGCCGGTCACCGAGCTCGGCGGCGGCTAGCACCACCAGGACCGAGCAGAGACTCCGGCGGGAGAAGGCCTCAGGTGAGGAGGCGGAGGGGGGCAGCCGGGCCTCAGGAAGCGGGGCGGGCGGGGTCTGGCCGGGACTAGGCCTCGGCTCACTGCCGGGGAGCGCCGTGTGTCCTCCTCCTCTAACGGAGAGCCAGGATATACATCCTGCCAGAGAGACAGACAGAGAGAGAGAGAGAGCACGGTGTAATAAATATATATTATATTATATACAACATTACACCTCATATTGCTATATATTCTATACATCCTGCCAGAGAGAGAGCACGGTGTAATAAATATAATTATATTATATACAACATTACACCTCATATTACTATATATTCTATACATCCTGCCAGACAGAGAGCACGGTGTAATAAATATATATTATATTATATACAACATTACACCTCATATTACTATATATTCTATACATCCTGCCAGAGAGACAGAGAGAGAGCACGGTGTAATAAATATATATTATATACAACATTACACCTCATATTACTATATATTCTATACATCCTGCCAGAGAGAGAGAGACCGGTGTACTAAATGTATATCATGTTACTATATATTATATACAACATTACTCCTCATATTACTATATATTATTTACATTACTACTCATATCATATTACTAGATATTATATACAATATTACTCCTCATACCGTATTACTATATATTGTATACAACATTACTCCTCATACCATATTACTATATATTGTATACAACATTACTTCTCATACCGTATTACTATATATTGTATACAACATTACTCCTCATACCGTATTACTATATATTGTATACATTACTCCTCATACCGTATTACTATATATTGTATACAATATTACTCCTCATACCGTATTACTATATATTGTATACAACATTACTCCTCATACCGTATTACTATATATTGTATACAACATTACTCCTCGCACCGTATTACTATATATTGTATACAACATTACTCCTCGCACCGTATTACTATATATTGTATACAACATTACTCCTCGCACCGTATTACTATATATTGTATACAACATTACTCCTCGCACCGTATTACTATATATTGTATACAACATTACTCCTCGCACCGTATTACTATATATTGTATACAACATTACTCCTCGCACCGTATTACTATATATTGTATACAACATTACTCCTCGCACCGTATTACTATATATTGTATACAACATTACTCCTCGCACCGTATTACTATATATTGTATACAACATTACTCCTCGCACCGTATTACTATATATTGTATACAACATTACTCCTCGCACCGTATTACTATATATTGTATACAACATTACTCCTCGCACCGTATTACTATATATTGTATACAACATTACTCCTCGCACCGTATTACTATATATTGTATACAACATTACTCCTCGCACCGTATTACTATATATTGTATACAACATTACTCCTCGCACCGTATTACTATATATTGTATACAACATTACTCCTCGCACCGTATTACTATATATTGTATACAACATTACTCCTCGCACCGTATTACTATATATTGTATACAACATTACTCCTCGCACCGTATTACTATATATTGTATACAACATTACTCCTCGCACCGTATTACTATATATTGTATACAACATTACTCCTCGCACCGTATTACTATATATTGTATACAACATTACTCCTCGCACCGTATTACTATATATTGTATACAACATTACTCCTCGCACCGTATTACTATATATTGTATACAACATTACTCCTCGCACCGTATTACTATATATTGTATACAACATTACTCCTCGCACCGTATTACTATATATTGTATACAACATTACTCCTCGCACCGTATTACTATATATTGTATACAACATTACTCCTCGCACCGTATTACTATATATTGTATACAACATTACTCCTCATATCCTATTACTATATATTGTATACAACATTACTCCTCATATCCTATTACTATATATTATATACATTACGCCTCATATTTCATATTACTATATAAATTATAGCTTCCTACTGGACCAGACATAAACTCCCACCTTGTCCCTATCCTATGTATGTATGTTGATTATCAATAAATATATGACTGCCACATCCCCCATTTTATGGTTGTATCATTGCTTCATGCTGATGGAGAGTACAAGAGAAGTATTGTCCTTAACACAAATATACAAATTATAGAGACCTTTATGATTGATTGTTATTCTCTATACTTGGCTTTGGATCCGAAATGTGGTGTGTCCAATAGTTTGAAGATATATCTTTTTATTTTTAAACTATCCTCCAGGTAAATAACTTGGTAGACAAGGGGAAAGACTAACAGCAGCATTTTTCTGCATTTTAGCAGGGAGGAGTAATTGGCCATGCCTAGGCCATGTTCTTGGTTTGGGTCTCTGTCAGAAAAGGGTGATGGTTTGATAGCATTTTAATGTATCTGTAATCCCGAAGTAATATTGTAGACCCAGTAATTGATTTTATTTCTAAAGGCAGTTTCTGCAGCAATGTTTTTAGAATCTAGATTGTGGATTCATTTCCTGAATTTCACCTTTGTCCAACATGTATTGTTGCAAATTTTATATATAATCTATCCTGTGTCTTTTTAATATAGCAAGTTATTATAAATGGCATCTATATTCCACTTGCTCTGCAGTTCTTTACAACTTTTTTTTTTTTAATTCTTTATTTTTGTAGTGCATCAGCTTTGAACAGATGCATGTGAGGTACCCCAAAGGCAATCCTCCAGCTGATAATTAACAGTTGAATATAGAGGTACATGGTAGATCTAGCACTTTTTTTTTTTTTTTTTATATATATATATATAGGAATATGATGAGTGCTAAACAATATGTTTTCATCGCTTAGGGTGCTTAGGTATTACACAGTGCGACAGCGCTTTACTATCTAGTTATATTATTATGCTGTGTCAAGAGCTAGTATGTGCATATAAGCTAAGTGTAGAATTAAGGATGAGTTTACAACATTTTCAGGTACATGTATATAGACTGTGCTGCAGGGTTGAGACATGTAGTGCTGTATGTTTGCCAATTCCATGCTAATGGCAGGTAAGTGCCTATATCCAATTATACATTGCAGCTTTATAGTTTTTACCAAGCTTACTATTTGCCACAATAGTTGCAAATGTATTATAAGCCTGCAAAGTTAAGGCCAAGACAGGGAAAAACATATTGAAGCAGGAACACATCGCAAGCTATTAACAGGCTAGTGCTTTAAAATTATAACGCTATATTCAGGCTATGTCTAGGTCACTTTAGTGTAATTTCACCCTGGTTAATCGGCCCAGTGGAGAGGGCTGCCATCATGGTGGTCCCAAGACCTCACAGACAGGGGGAGTCCCGCCACTACCCGATACCTGCTCTGTTTCTGAGTAGCTGGGAGTGAGTGTTCATCAGAGCAGGCATCAGGGCACAGTCCCTCCATGTTGTGCATTGGGTTGCTTGCTGGGATCTCTTGTGTTTCCGCTGTAGCTTGTTGCGCTTGCCTCTTTTGTTCATCTGGGACCGCCATTGTAGAGGGTTTGGTGACGGCTGCTCGGGTATGCCGGTTTCTGTGTTGCCTCAGTGCAAGCTGGATGGAAGTAAGAGGTCGGGTGGTGTGCTGGGGTTTCTCGCTTGGCAGTAAGCTCGGTCCTTCAAGGCGGGAATGTTGGTGTTCCGTGTAGCGCCATCCCCTCGGTGCAGCCGCTGTTGTCGCTGGTTTGGATGGCTTCAGGGGTAGGCGAGAGTTGTCCTGCTTCCCTGTGTGGTAGGGTCGGAAGGCAGGAGCTGCGATGGTAATTGTGAGCGCATGGAGAGAGCTGGTCTTTCCCTTGCCTCCCGCGCACATGGTGTCCGCCATCTTGGGTGCAGCCGTCGGGCTCTCCGACACAGTCTGCGGCAGCTCGGTGAGGGCCACAGGGTGAGGACAAGGATCACCCCCCCCGGTCCAAAGGGGGGGAACAGAGCCGGGTCCGCTCGGGTTCGTGCCTCTGGCTGGGTGCTGTGTGGTAGGATAGCGGGGCCGCGGCCGTCAGCCCCACTCACCACCGGAGAAGGCCTCTGTTGGGGCAACAAAACTTTCTCCTCCAGGGGACTGAAGCTCGGTGAGCCAGCCTCTCCCTGGATCCAGTATTCCCCTTGCTTTGGGCACCATTGCTGTCGGTCTGCTTTGGAGTTAGAAGGCATATTGGATTAGCGTTTTGTGGCTATGTGTTGCAGGAGCTTCCCTATCTTGCGACCGTCCAGCTCGGCGGTCCGGCCCCGCCCCTTTACAACTTTAAAAAGGGGATTAAGCAACAGTTGAGGAAACTATTGTAAATGCTGAACAAGAGGCTAATGATGACCTGCTCCAACAGGCTTGAAATCTAGAGGCATTGCTGTCATGGAATTCATTAAAATGTGGCATCCTGTGCTTATGCCTCACAAATTAGAAAATATAACTTGACAAAAGCATGAATGTTACTAGTACATCTACTGTTTGTATATTCAACTTGAATTATTATTATTTTAGTGTTCTGTGTGAATTATTATTGTGCTCCAACACTTCAATAGCTTATTATAGAGTTTTTATGTTTTCTTTGGTACATAAAATACCATAAGATTCTGGAATATTATCTGTTGAAATTTGTCCAATGAGTTACGTTAAGAAGGGGGGGGGGAGGAATGTCACCGTATCTGCACTGGCAGGGACTGCTGGGCCTCTATCATTTTGATGACTCTGGTGTGTTCAGTGGTGGGGTGAAACAAGGTATTTAGCTAACGGAAAAAAAAATTTTTTTTATATATATATATATATATATACACACACACACACAATGTTGAACAAAAATCTGCACACCAGTCAAGCCATAAGACTTGCTTTTCCCACAGAAATCCCAAATCTGCAGTGATGTTAAAACCGCAAAGGATTCTGGGTGGGCATATGCAAATTAGTTTAACAAAGAATCACATTTTTGCCTCATTCCATTTTAAAAATGGATTCCTTTTAATCTGTGTTTGCAGTATACAACTGCTTGGAACACAATTTATTTTCCCCACCGGGGTACGAGTAAGGTGCCTTGCATTCCCCAGCGGTATGGCACTCCTTTGGACCGGAGGTGAGTCGTGATGGGGTCCATTTGTCTGCGCCACTGCAGCGTTGCCCTAGTTAAGTAGTGAAAGAAATTTAGAGAGGCGTCCTCAAACTGCAGTGGGGTTTTACCTCGTGTTGCTGCCATAATATGGCTTTTGTCCTTCGCTTTACGTCTCGTGGCTCAGGGGTGGAGGGCTTGGCCATGCTGGTGAGTCGGAATATGCCATCAAGTGTGACTTTTTTGGCCACCGCTGGTGGGAGTATGGCGGCCAGCAGCCTCTGGATATAATGCGGAAGTTCTTCAGCTCTTACTGCCGCTGGTATGCCTCGTATTTTAATGTTGTTCCTCCTTAGCTGATCTTTGAGGGTTGTCAGCCGTTGCGACAGTGCCTGGTGGTGGGTATTGAGCTGCTGTACTGGGTTCTTGAGATGGGTCATCTCAGTCTGCACATCCAGGATGCTTTCCTCCATGGCCTTAATGCGGTCTGTTTTTGCATGAATTTTCCGTGCGTACTCTGCGTACAAATGTGTATTCCTGACCCTATAGTGGTAAAAACACATTTTAGGTGCTGGCGCCCTCTTGGAAAGGGTTAAAGTACCAAATTATTTTATTTATTTTCCCGGTGTCTGCTAGTGCAGAATCGTCCATCTCAGCCAATCCAACTGTTTCCTAAAGGAAAACATTGGGAGGCTATTGAGCATGCGCAACATACTCACCAATAAGAATCTGCTAATAGAGATGCATTAAATCAGCGCATCTTTATGGGAAAGTTCAGCATCTCGTTGTGCAGCACTCACCCAGGAAATACTTCTAGTGGCTGTCTGAGTGACTTCCACAGGAGGTATCCTTAGGCAGCAATATAAACACTGCCTTTTATTTTAAAAGGCAGTGTTTACCTGAAAATGCTTCCAGGAACAGACTAAAGACACATTAGAACTACATTAAGCTGTAGTGGTTCTGGTGACTATAGTTTCCCTTTTATTGATATTATCCAAACCACACAGAGTGAGTATTTTCATAGGGAAATATTGGCCATTGCTACCATATGAGAAGAACCTACTTTTATTCCTCATTTAATTAAAGGGACACTATAGTCACCAGAACTACAGCTTATTGGATTTGTTCTGGTGAGTAGAATCATTACCTTCAGGCTTTATGCTGTAAACACTGTCTTTCCAGAGAAAATGCAGTGTTTACATTACAGCCTAGTGATCACTTCACTGGCCACTCCTCGGATGGCTGTTCAAGAACCTTCCTGGGTCATGGCTGTCTAAAATGCATCCAAACATTCAGTGTCTCCTCCCTCTGCATGAAGACACTGAACTTTCCTCACAGAGATGCATTGATTCAATCCATCTCTATGAGAAGATGCTGATTGGCCAGGGTTGTGTTTGAATTGTGCTGGCTCTGCCCTTGATCTGCCTCTTTGTCAGTATCAGCCAATCCTACGGGGGAAGCACTGTGATTGGATCAGGCCACCACTTCTGATGTCAGCAGACTGCTTGTTTCTCTTTAGGCAGAGTTACAGCTTCTGTCTTGAATACAGTAAGATTTTTACTATATTTATATGGAGGCATGAGGAGCCCAGGGGGTGCTAGATGGTGGTGTTAACACTATAGGGTCAGGAATACATGTTTGTGTTCCTGACCCTATAGTGACCCTTAAAGGATTTTTATTGTATTTAGGACTCAACTGGTATGCTAGAATCTGTTTTTTGTCACCCTGGTAGAATTTGGAAAAGCTTATTTCTTTTGACTGTATTTGCAAATTTATTTATTATTATTATTATTATTATTATTATTATTATTATTATTATTATTCTCCTAAGAAATGGCACTGTGGAAAGGTTCCCAAATGCTGGGTATAGGACTCACCATTTTCCTGAGGATAAAAAAAAAAAATCAATAAAAAAAAATCATAGGTTAAAAACAAACCGTGTTACTTACTAGATTGAGAACACTGCAGGGTGGGCAGTCTGCTGAATTTTACTCACCTGAACCTGTTCCTTGTGTGTGCGACCATCTTAATTGGATTTCTCTTCAGCTCCTGGCACTTCAGCTGCCAAAGCCGATGCTAGCACACATGCGTTCAGTACAGTACTGAAGTCTGTGGAGGATCCTGATGGTGACAACTGGGGAGCTATGACAAGCTTTTTAAAAAAAACAAAACAAAAAAAAAACTTTCCAAGCGGAGCAAAAATATTGAGACAAAGTACTTTGTCTTAGTGTATCCTTTGACTGGGTAGGAATTTTTGGGGTTGCATCAAATCAGAACATTAGAATCAAACATTTAGAAAAAAGGTTATATGATATAATATAAACTAATGCAATTAAAATATTGTTTAGAGTAATTTAAACTCGTACCTTTCAATAAAGGCTTGGCTAAATGGACAGAAACCACCCCATCAACTAAACCAACAAGTTGGAGCTTACAAATAAATTGCAGTTCCCCTAAAGACTGAAATGCATATTTCTTTTCTTTGAGATTTACATCCTCAAGATTTTTTATCTCAGTAGATTGTATTCCAGGGTTGATCTTTCTTCAGCGTGCAAGAATTGCAATCTTTTAAGATTTTAAATAGTTTTCATAAGTCTTCGTGCTCTATAATTTTGTCATGTTGGTGGTTTGAATATATAAACACCATGTCATGCACAAAATAATTGTAAAAGAACATATTCCAATTTTCCTGTTCTGTCTCTGCTGGTAAACTAGCTGCAGGGATGTTTTGTACACCTGACTGATATCTTTTGCACTCTGTCCCAAATAAAGCATTTCAGGACAGATTGGAAAGAATGCTGAGCTAGACTAGCGGAACTCCTATGCAGGTGTATATGTGTGTATGTATAGATAATATTTCATTCTATCTACACACACACACCTGCATAGGAGTTCCGCTAGTCTGGCTCAGCATTCTTCATTTATTTTTTTAACAGAGCTGGAAATTGAGCAGGCCATCATTTGTTAGGACAGGTATTTACAAAGTATTAACTGTTGCTTTCTCAAAGCTTTTGTATATAGTTCTCCACCATTTTTGGTTATTGAAGTTAAAGCACAAAATATTTTGGGAAAGTTGCTAGTGCAATTTGTAGTTTAAAATTATTTTAAAAGTGCACTCTAAGCAATACAAACACTGGGCGTCTCAGCATCTAACCCTTATTCAAAGATGTCACCAGAGAGATAGTCCAGAGTTGGATTTCAAATTGGTTGAGTCTTTAATTGGTGTGGATGGTCTGCAGCATGTAACTGTGTTGCAACTTTATGAACTTCAGAGATCGGCATTCCTTTCCAATTTATTTCAAAGAAACCTTTCCTAGTGACCTCCCACAGCTTAAAATGGTCTGGCAAATTACCTAGATCCTACTGGATGCCTGCACCCCCACTTCTCTCAGGAGAATCCGGTTAGCTTCACTTTGCCGTGCTCCCTTTGAACGATTTGAGCCTATTATTGGACTGTGCTTGTCTTGGAAGAGACATCTCTCTTCACTTCCAAGAGAAGACTAGATGCAGCAAGGGGACCCAGGTAAGCATTTTTTGGACAAATCAATCTTAAAGCACCAGGCACTCCTGGCTCTGTAACTACTATAGTGTTATAGTGGATATGGTGCTTGGAGTGTTTCTCGAAGCTTCGCACTTGACTCCATACATAATGTAAGTGGAAATTGAGCCATTGTAGCCTTTCTTGTGGCTGGCTGGGGATCAAGCTTTAAAAACAGTTCAATAGTGCATCCCTACACAGGAGCTGTGTTTAAAACCAAAGTACAGCTCCTTCATGCCATTTGACATCAGG